CTTGCTGTTAAATTCAGAAAAAAAATGGATCTGTGGAGGTGTTCTCCTGAAAAATAACTTTGTATTGACTACAGCTGAATGTGCCCTGCTGTCTCCTGTTAGTGTTATGGTTGGTAAGTAACTTACTGTTTCTCTCGGTATTGGGAATTTCAAAGAAATAGAAACTTAAAACATGTCAAGTAAAAGTATTAGTAGACTCAGAATGTTCACCTGCAAACTTGCCATGCTATAGTAAGTAAGTAAGTAAGTAAGTAAGTAAGTAAGTAAGTAAGTAAGTATGTATGTATGTATGTATGTATGTATGTATGTATGTATGTATGTATGTATGTATGAGTGGTGGGATTAAAAAAAATTACTACCAGGTTTTGTGGCTGTGGCTTGGTGGGCGTGGCAGGGGAAGGGTACTGCGAAATCCCCAGTCCCTACCGATCAGCTGGGACTCAGGAGGCAGAGAATAGATGGGGGCGGGGCCAGTCAGAGGTGGTATTTACCGGTTCTCCAAAATACTCAAAAATTCTGCTACCGGTTCTCCAGAACTGGTCAGAACCTGCTGAATACCAACTCTGGTATGGATGTATGGTAGACAGACACTATCACATTAACTGCTAACACCCAGCCAGCTTTGCCTAATCTCAAAAGTTGTCAGCCATCATTAATGAATTAATCTGGAAGGGAGACGTCGTAAGAAAATCCCAGGGCTATTCTAGAAAGTCCAAGAACATTGTGGAAGGTAGTTATAACATAGTGCTTTTCAGTCTTCCCAAGAAAATTGCATGGTGCAGTCATACCACCATAAATCAAGCTTGAATCAAGGAAGCTTTTTAAGTGTTTATTTTAGGCAGCAAGGAACAGCAAAGAAAAATTAAGGCATAGCATTTCCCCAGCGCAAACATGAATCATGGGGCTACAGTGATGCTAAAAAAGAAAATTATCTTTAAAAAATCATATTAATTGAAATGTCACAAGATTACTGAGATTTCTGTCTTCTCACATGACTGGGTGTTAAAATCTTATTTGATTTGATAATCTGTGGCTATTTATTTATTCCTCCCTAGTGTCAATTAAGATCACATGATGTAGAAGAGTTGTCAAGCTGTGGTCCGATGTGATAGTGGATATCATCATTATGTTATTATTCCCTATGTGGCAATTCCATTCATACAAATTGCATCATGCAAGAAATGATGGGTTGAAGTGCGTTTGCTACAATCTGACTATAGGTATTGTTGCAGACACTGTTCCAGTCACTGCAGCCCCTCTCCCTCTCCAACCACTCCTCCTATGTGTAACAAAGGTTGCTGTTGTGGCCCGCCAGCAGAGCTGGCAGCTGATTCGGACAGTGAGGAGGTTGGGGAGGAATGTGGGCCAGTCCTGGAGTCTGGGGAAGGCTCTGATGAGGGCTCTGTGTAAGAGGCAGAGAGGGAGCCAGAGTCATATGCCAGTTATCAGCTGCCTTCAGAGTCAGACATCAGTGAGGCAGACGAAAAGCTGGATCCTGTTCCCAGTGTGCGCATGACTGGCTCCTCCCAGAGGAAATAAAAGAGGAGCAAAAAAGGAGTGGAGTTTGCAGGAGACAATTAGTTCACTTAATTGGTTTGACTCTCCAAGACTCCTTGCTAAGTGTTGCAGATATCGGCCTGTCAGCTCTCCAAGCCAGATAAGGTCTGTGACTGTAAATCCTCCCTTGAANGCAATAAATCAAATCAAATCAAATCAAAGAAAACAATTACATTTCTTTTTTCCAGAATAAATTTTGGAGTGTCTACCTTGGTGAGTATCTAAGAAGAAATTTAGAAATACTTTGTAACCGAAGAATTCTCAATGTTTATGTTATATTTTAAATCACCAGCTGTGCTGGTATGTACTATTCTAAAGGACACCCAAGATGCTGTCGTTAATGCAAACTTTGCTTCTTTATTCTTAGTCTCCTTTGGGAGGGAGGGAGAGAGGGAGGGAGGGAGGGAGGGAGAGAGGGAAGAAGGAAGGAAAGAAGGAAGGAAGGAAGGAAGGAAGGAAGGAAGGAAGGAAGGAAGGAATTCTAGCCAGTGCTATTAATCCAGATTCATTGCTTTAAAATGAAAGAGTTTTCAAACATTTCCAGGCTAGCATTGCAGCAGTAATAAAAAAACAGAAATGTTGTAATTTAGTATTTTCTTATTTAAAAAATACTCTTCGGGTCTGCTCATCCTGCACTCAGTTTGTTATGTTTATTTTTGCAACAAATATATCCCTAGGAATACATTTTTGTTTCTTGTTTGATCTGCTTGATTTTTTTCCAGAAAAATACATCAAATCTTTCTTTAGAAAAACACTAAGGCCTTTTTTCAGAGGCCTTACTAACAGAATAATCTCAAATCAGCTGAGAAGCATTTCAAAATAATCTTATTTATGCATGGTTTTTTTTAATTACCTTGAATTTCCTTCAGAAGGGAAATTCAGCCTGATTTTATTGACGGCCAAACAAGATAACTGGCTAAAATTACACAATTATTAAATTTTAATCATAATAAAAATAATTTATCTAGTCACGTTTGGAAGTAATCCACATGTCTCAGCTTGGTTTTGCAGACAGTAGTCTGCCTAATTATTACAGAAAAATGCAAAAGGAGTGATGACTATAAATTAAGGATTTTGTTAAACAAACAAGCAAATGTGCAAAAGCTTCTTTCTACTTACATTTCTTTCATTTCTAAACAGTATCAGAAAACAGTAGAAAACAACATTTTTTTCAGTACTACTCCCCAAGTGACATTCTTAAATCATTGCTCCAGCAACTCTTACAAAATGAAGATTTTTTTTTCAAAAAATGTTTTCTCCCTTAACAAAAGATGCTTGATGCCTGATATAAAAACTAAGAACAGAATTGTTGCAAGCAGAATTTGATCTGCTTGAGTTATAAAAGAAAAATTATTTTTCAGATATGGTTGATTTTCACCCACCTTTACCTGAGCCCATTGGTTTCTTTTCAGAATATTTGAGATCTGATCACTTTTACACTTGCACTTTTATTGCTGCTGCTATTTCCCCCCCCCCCCCCCCCCAAGAGTATTTTAACAGATATGTTGCAGCCTTACCAGGCATCCTCAGTCTTTTAGGGCTATTGACATTCAGGGATAACATGACAGGACCCAATGGTGGAATGAAGCCTATTATATCAGAAAGCAAAGAAAGGTTTTTTTTGCCAACAACCATATGTATTGTGACTACACCTGGCCCTGCTGATTAGAAAGTTGGGGGAGGGATTCCCAACACATCTAGAGAATGCCTGAGTGGTGAACAGCATTCAGCATAGAAGAAATGATTTCAAAAATTTAAATTGAGCCTAAGAAACTCTTTTGTAAAACTTGCTTAGTAGCTTACAGATAAACATATGAAGAGGAACCAAATATAAGCTCCCTTGTTAGAAAATTCTAAATGCAGTTGTTTGGTATTTTTCCCCCCAGGTGGTATCCGATGCTCTTCCAGTCCCTGCCTTCATAATGGTGTATGCAGGGACACTATTCGCAGCTATACATGTGATTGTAGAGATGACTTTGAAGGAATAAACTGCGCTTTTGGTAAAAACCAGTTTTTATTTAATCAACCAGAACGTGTGCCATTAATTCTTATGAGAAATTAGTAATGCTTTAATAATGAAGATGTTATAAGGAATATAGTTTGCTGCCTTCCAATACTAGTGTCAAAAAGAATTTATAATAAATATGCAGTCACAATGGACATTTTTCTCTTTAAATCCTTCTGTTTTTCAAGCAGAGATATTTGTCTGGGTCTAGAATAACTCTGCTGCAAACGAAGGGCTGGGATGCACTCAGGGGTGGGCTGCTACAGATTTCCCGGGTTTGGGAAATCTGTAGCTAACATTATGGCTGGTTTGGAGAACCACCAAATCCCACCCCTGGCTGGCCCTGCCCACCCTGCCCTCCCACCCCACCCCTCCTAGGAGTCTTCACGTGGCCCATTTTGGATGTGAGGTAAGCGCAGAGCCCGTGTGGAGGCTTGGGGAGGAGGAAAAATGGGTCTCACGGAAGTTCTGGAAGGGGATGGGCCTCCGTAGCTCTGGGGAGGCTGTTTTCGCCCTCCCAGAGGCTCAAAGAAATCCTCTGGAGCCTGGGGAAGGTGAAAACGCGCCCCCACCCCCGCCATGGTACGAGGCTGACTAGGCCATATCCACCATGGCCACACCCATCCAGCAACTGAGCAGAGAACCTGTTGCTGAAATTTTTGAAACCCACCCCTGGATCCACTGGCAGTTCATTAGATAAGGAGTGTGGATCTGATTTTGCCCAGCCAGATCCCCTTCCTCTGCAGCATTTCAGGAGATTCCCCCCAGCCCCCATAGATTTTTAGGAGAAAAAACTTGCTGCCACATTGTTTTGGTGGCATCAAGGACAAGAATGCTGACAATGGGGTATTATGTATGTTTGTTACCTGGAATAATAAACTTGGGATAAAAACCTAATAAAATATCAGAGAGAAATAGTACTTTCTCTTCTTTTTCCCAAATCGCTTGCCATGGTTGAAGAATTCTCACTTCTCTTTCCCTTTTTTTTTTCCTTTTGGACTACAATACAGACCTTTTCCTTCCAATATTATCTCTCTGAAGACAAACCACACAATAACACTCCTAAGATTTTCCATGGGTATTGTGCACATGCATTTGCAAAATGAAAAGTACAATTAGTCTTTAATAGGTCATCTATTTTTATGATATCTAATGATATCACTATCTTGCCACACTTCATAGAAAACTACACTGTATTTTATTCATACTGTAAATGAACTGAAGTTCTGATTAATCGGTGCAGTGAAAATTACGACAATGTGGAATGTTTTGGCCAGAGATACAAAATCGTTTTGCCATGATTTACCCACAACTAAATACAATCCAGCCATTTTAGTCCATTGTGGGGCTTTTTCCACTCTTAGTTTCTCAAATCTACTACCAAAATTTAAAGCTGACTCTATACATGTGATTCATTCCAAAATTAGTCATACCATAGTCTGAGAAGGGTGGCACATAACAATGGCACTTTATACAATGATTTCAGTGAATTTTCTCTATGACTAAATCTGGGTGCCGCTCATCATTCTGCAGAGCACAGCTGCAGCTTTTGATTCCAAAATAACCTTACCAATAACTTGCAGTTACAAAGAATCTGTATATCTCACAGAAATAGAGTATCTGGCAAATGGTATTTGCAGAAATAAATTGGGGAAAAAATAGCCACTTAAAAATGGACAAATATTAGAGAAACAAAGTCCTTGCTGGGTTTTTTTTTAATAGAATAATTTGATTTCTTACTTCCCATTTCATGTTTATCTTGTAAAAATTATATTTTATTTCTATAGCTAAAAATGAGTGCCGCCACGAAATCAACACAGGGTGTCAGCACTTCTGCTATCCAGAATCCAACTTTTATCGCTGTTCATGTGCTCAAGGCTATACATTGGGGGAAGACGATAAATCATGCATTGCAGAAGGTAGGTAGATTTTTTTTTTAAGGTATCTTGGAAGATAACCCAGGAGTCAATATTGTATGCATATTAAACAAATGAACTGAAATTATTTCAGTTAAGTTTATTTGTCAGAATCTGAGGTTGCATTAAGGACTGGGAGAAGATCATATATTGCAATAATCCCTTCATTGAGTATCTGTGCAAAATGTAGCTCATTCTAAACATAATAGGCAATGTAAACACAACTCACTGTCACTCCTTTTAGAGGAGGCTGGATCTCCAGTCATAAGGAATAATGAACAGTTTTGATCCTACTGCAGCTCTCTTCTGCAGCGACTACAGAAAAAAGGCAACTATCAGAAAACAAGAACATATATAACAGAATAACTAAGTTGGAAGGGATCTTGGAGGTCTTCTAGTCCAGGGATAGGCAACCTTAAATACTCAAACAGCCACAAAGGTCGTTACCGGAAGCCCCCTGTTCAATTCTAGAGCAGACCAGAAGTCCGGTTCCCCCACCATAGTCTCCTCCTAACACAGTGGTGTCTTTTTTTTCTACCTATCCTAACCAAAAGCCTATCAATTGTGGAGCCAACTGGCGATAGGGAGCCGCAGCAGGGGAATGAAAGAGCCAGATGTGGCTCCAGAGCTGCAGATTGCTGACCCCTGTTCTAGTCCAACCCCTTGCTCAAGCAGAAAACCCTATACCTTTTCAGACAAATGGCTGCCCAATCTTTTGTTTAAAACTTCTGGAGACAAGTTGTTGCACTGATTAATTGTTCTTGCTGTTAGAAAATGTTTCCTTATTTCTAGGTTGCATCTCTCCTTGAATAGTTTCCATCCATTGCTTCTTGTCCTGCCTTCGGACACTTTGGAAAATAGCATGACTCCCTTCTTTGTGGCAACTTGTTAGATATTGGAACACTGCTATCGTGTCACCCCTATTCCTTCTTTTCATTAAACTGAACATATCCAATTTCTGCAATTCTTCAGCATATGTTTTAGCTTTCAGTCCAGTGGTGGGATTCAAAATTTTTTACTACTGGTTCTGTGGGTGTGGCTTGGTGGGTTTGGCAGGGGAAGGTTACTGCAAAATCCCCATTCCCTCCCGATCAGCTGGAACTCAGGAGGCAGAGAATAGATGGGGGCAGGGCCAGTCAGAGATGGTATTTACCGGTTCTCCGAACTACTCAGAATTTCCGCTATTGGTTCTCCAGAACTGATCAGAACCTGCTAAATACAAACNTGGAATTCGGAGGAGGCCTAATCTGTGGGATCTAATCGGTCTAGTGGAGGTAATTGGCAGCAGGCAATATGGAATTCTAATCTAACAGTCCAAGAGTTATAGTCTTGTTCAATCTTTTCTGGTTTATTCAGAGGTGTTATCTTAATTAACTAACTATCATTACTGATAGGTAGTCGGTCAATTACTTTTTCCCACCTTGATCCTCCTACATTAAACGCAGGGGTGTCAAACTGGCAAATTGTGGGCCGGATGCCCACTCTGCAAAGGCAAAAACCGTCGTGATACATCACGTGATACGATCGAGTTTGACACCCGTGCTATAAAGGCATCAAAACTCTTTCATAACCTAATGAAGCATCATTACTTCACACTACAGACTATTAATAATTTTCCATCGCAAGCAACTGTCCTCCTACAAGAAGGAGAAATACAACAGATACAGCATTCAATTGCCTGGAAAGGGCATGTTAAGTTAGAACCAGCAACAAGCATGATATTCTTCAGAAAGAAGACCAGAAATAAATTAACAACTAGTTTACAAAAACCAGAACAAATCAGTAAATTAACATTCCAGTTTATATGAAAGAAGAGATCTAGTCAAAGTAAAACATAATTTTACTTTGTTCTTCCTCCTGGTTTCATGGAGGAGAAATGAGAAAGTCCACAAACCATGACTTTGCCTGGGATGTTTCTGCTTGTACATATCACACTAAACCAATATTTGGAGATAGCAATATTGAGCAAATCGATTGGAAACGTTTTGGATTCTGGGATCTACTTTGCTAAGGGTGAGACAGCAATGGCAGGGCATTAGTATAAAGCAAACAGTTACAGCTCAAATGTGGTTATGGTTGGGATGTTCCATTTATTTCCTGAGGAGAGGAGAATATTCGTTTAATCTGCATTGCAACTTTTTCATTATTTCATTATATTACTATGAAATTAGGGACTAAAAGAGCATTTTTTTAATATAATAGTAAAGCAACATTCAACAGCTTGTTATCTACATTGTAAGAAAAATAGTTTGCAGTCTTACTACACTAATAGGATTAGAAGTATGCAGTCCCATAAATGAAACTTACCTCACAGCTTGTGTAACTTCTGCAAACTGCATGAGGTCATACTTTTTTAAAAGCTGGATCATTGGCATATGGCCCTGAAAATCCAAGCATAATTTTAAACTCAATGCCAAAAATTAGAAACACCAATAATCAGTTTTTTACCTAAAGCTATAAACAGTCATGAGTTGTTCTGCTAACTATCATCATAGCTAATCTCCTAGCCCAAAAGACATTATTTCTGGCTGCCTACTCCCCACATAATATCCAGATGTAGCAAGGATCCTAATGGGATCCCAAACTGGGTCAAGTTAGACCAAAGTCATATCCCTAAAGTGTCCTACAGAACAGCATTAACAGAAAGACTAATTCTGAATCTAGCAAAAAAAATCTATTGACAGGAATCCCTTTCCATTGGATCTGGAGTTGGGAGTTTTCCATTTAGCAAAAGGTTCCAAAGAACTGCTCTTTCTCCTCTTCCTGTGCTCTGAAACTTGAACTACAGTTCCTGCCTCATGAAGAAGTCATCACTTTATTCTTAAGTGCTTGCAACAGAAGTTCCAACTAAGCAGCTCAGGAAATTTGTTAATGATTCTGGCTCTCTGGAATCCAGGCTGCCATTCTCAAACCACATACGATGGCATACTAATCCAGTTTCACGTTTTCCTTGACTACCTGGAGCTACAAAACAAAAAAGCTATGTAACAAGTGTACAGCTAACAATTTTATATGCCTAAAAAGTTAAAGGTTCCCAAGGCACATATGTGCTAATCATTCCCGACTTGGGGGGGGGGGGTTGCTTATCTCAATTTCAAAGCCGAAGAGCCAGTGCTGTCCGAAGACATCTCCGTGGTCATGTGACTGGCATGACTAAATGCCGAAGACGCATTTAGGGACACTGTTATCTTCCCACCAAAGATGGTTCCTATTTTTCTACATGCATTTTTACATGCTTTTGAACTGCTAGGTTGGCGAAAGCTGGGGCAAGTAACAGGAGCTCACTCCGTTATGCGGCACTAGGGATTCGAGCCGCCGAACTACCGACCTTTCTGATTGACAAGCGTGACATCTTAGCCACTAAGTCACCTATTTTGTATGCCTTGGGAGGCCCAAATCTTACATGGCTTCTTCCATAAACTGTACTTATGATGGGCAACTCCATAAATCTCTGGCCAAAAAAGGGCTCATTCCCCAATTCTTTACTAAGTATCAGAACATACTTTAAGACCAAAATTTCTAATCTGCTGGTACCTGACTTGATATCCATCAAAACACCTATCATCATTTTCACATTAACATTCTTTTTCATTTAAACAAGGTAGGGAAAGAATTCTTTTCAACCCCTTTACCAGAAGTAGCCTTAGGAAGCACTAGTAGTTTTGTCTGGGTAATGAATTAACAAGTTGCAACTGTATTTCTGTTCTGTCCTTAAACTTCATTTCTGTTTGTGTATATGTGAGCTGCATCTACTCAACTCTGGATCGCATGATGATGAAGGAGGAGGGAAGTGGGCCTAGAGGAGTGGAGTCAGTAGCATTCAGCGCCATGTCCTAGAAGCCTTCCCATGTAGTTGTTGTTTTTTCTACAGTTCCAAGGCAGCCCTGGACCATTTCTAAACGCTATCTTTCTTCTGACTTCTAAATTTGTCCCCTTCTGTGTGGTTTTTATAGAGTCATTCTGTTGCCAAACAAATAGACCTCAGAAACAGTCCTGAGCGCTTTATATAATTTCTTTCAAACAGTTCACTGGGTTGGCAAGAATAAATAGGAACCCCAGCTTGCTACAAAGCAAAGTGCCAGCTTCTTCCATTACATTGAATGAACTCCAAACAGAGCTCTAGTCTTTCTTTTAAAAATTGGACAGTTGCCAGTCCAAGCTTTGCAGAAACGTGTTCACCTGGCCAGAAAAAAGACAAACCTTGACTAGAAGATAGAATGGATGAAAGGGGCAGGCCAACAGCTAATTTGAGAATATCCAGGACACATTCTTATAATTCCGATTTTTTACATTATTCATCAAAGTTCGGAATCTCTCCTGGGGGAAGACTGATACATTCAAATGCCACTCACCAGTAACATTTTCACTGGCAGCAAATAAATCAATATCATCCGTTTGTTTTTCTGACAAGACCGGTGACAGTGCTCAAAGGCAAAAGACAGATACTCTTCAGCTGCAAGAAGACAAAGAGGAGGCACACCATAACTCATCAGCATAGACCAAGAGCAAGTACTGGGCTTAAAAATAGTAGAAAAATCAGGAGAATCCACAACATGTTGGATCTTCTAAACAATAACAGGAAAGAATCCACAACATGTTGGATCTTCTAAACAATAACAGGAAATAATGTTCCCTCCACACATACTTTAATGAAATTAGTAATGTATCTAGTTCAATAATTTGTACTAACAATGAATTAAGGTGAGTTTATCCACAATCATTTTTTAGCAATCTTTTCAAATGTGCCTCCATAGCCAGTGCTCTGGAAGATTGCATATATCTTATTACAGTGTAAAATCTAGCTCTTCAACATGTATGTTTTTATATCAAAGCAAAAATAAAATCAAATGAGATTTTAGTATACATTATGTACATTAAGAGTATCTCAGTGTTGGCCATTTTAAGAGGGAGAACTTCCAATTCCCAGAATTCCCCAGCCAGCATGCATTAGAGAGAAAAACCATAATGATTATTCTCAATAGTGGTTTGTACAAATA